TGAAGCACAGAACAACACACGCCCACAGAAAACACCACCACCTCCACACGACCAGCCTCTGTGCCTGTCTGCTGCCAGCGTGAAGAGGACACTCATCACCATCAACGCCCGGAAAGCAGCGGGTCCAGATAACATCCCTGGTAGTGTGCTGAAAGACTGCGCAGAGGAGCTGAAGAATGTCTTCACAGACATCTTTAACACCTCCCTGAGGCAAGCCACTGTCCCATCATGCTTCAAGACTGCCACCATCATACCTGTGCCAAAGAAACCATCCCCAGCCTGTTTCAATGACTACCGTCCCGTGGCACTGACACCCATTATTATGAAGTGCTTTGAACGACTAGTCATGTCACACATCAAATCCACCCTACCTCCCACCCTGGACCCACACCAGTTCGCATACAGAGCGAAACGATCCACAGAGGATGCAATCTGCTCTGCCCTCCACCCAGCCCTAACTCATCTGGACAAGAAAGACTCATATGTGAGAATGCTGTTCATAGACTTTAGCTCAGCATTCAACACCATAATACCACAACAACTCATCTGTAAACTGGACAGACTGGGCCTCAGCACCTCCCTCTGCAACTGGCTGCTGGATTTCCTCAGCCAGAGGCCTCAAGCGGTGCGTGTGGGCAACAAGGTCTCAAACAGCATCACCCTGAGCACGGGGGCTCCACAAGGCTGTGTGCTCAGTCCTCTGCTCTTCACCCTGTTGACACATGACTGCACACCAACCTACAGCTCCAACCACCTTGTGAAGTTTGCGGACGACACAACGCTGGTGGGGCTCATCACCAAGGGCGATGAGACCCACTACAGGAAAGAGGTTGAGCTCCTGACCACGTGGTGCAGAGACAACAACCTCCTGCTAAATGTCAGTAAGACCAAGGAGATTATTGTCAACTTCCAGAGAGGCCACACCTGTCACCCCCCATTGACCATCGACGGCGCTGCGGTGGAGAGGGTGAGCAGCACCAAGTTCCTGGGGGTGCACATCAGTGAGGACCTCTCTTGGACCACCAACACAGCATCACTGGCCAAGAAAGCACAACAGTGCCTCTACTTCCTGCGCAAACTCAAGCGGGCAAGTGCTCCACCACCCATCCTGACTACATTCTACAGAGGAACTATTGAAAGTATCCTCTCCAGCTGCATCACTGTGTGGGGCGGTAGCTGCACTGACTATAACAGGAAAGCTCTACAACGCATTGTGAGAACAGCTGAGAGGATAGTTGGTGTACCACTCCCCTTCCTGCAAGACATTTACACCACTCGCCTCACCCGCAAAGCCATCACAATTGTCAACGATGCAACCCACCCCGCGCACTGTCTGTTCAGCCTCCTGCCCTCTGGAAAGAGATACAGAAGTCTCCGCTCCCGCACTACCAGGCTCACCAACAGCTTCATCCACCAGGCTGTGAGACTGCTGAACTCTCTTCCCTCCCGGCTCCCAGCCAGCAGAATCACCAGATTGGCAGAAGTATAGTAGACAGATTGGACTCTACCCCCCCACCCACGCACACTCTCCAACAAGGAAACACTCTCTGAACCAAGAACTGAAAACATTCCTGACTTGCATTGCAATTGCACACACCTGCTGCTATATATATATTTTTAGTATTCTTTTAGCACTATTTATATTATTATATTACTATTTATTACCTTATTGTTAGGGCTGTTTTTGTTTTTGTTGTGCATCTGCACCTTATTGTTGTCAATGCCTACGCATGGGACAGTGTGAAACGTAATTTCAATTCCTTTGTATGGCAAGTACATTTGAAGAAATTGACAAATAAAAGTATTCTATTCTATTCTATTCTATTCTATTCTATTCTATTGTGTGTTTAACCTCTTCATTTTTCTCTGCTATTCCAGATTTATCTTCATTTGTAAAAAGACTTATCCACACAGTTCATACTGATTTGTCCGATGACACCACGGGAACATACAGGGAAAACCTCGGGTTAACCTACAGCCTGGTTTTTAGGATTTTTTATTAGGTGTTCGTACCTGGTACCAGGTACCAGGTACCAGGTACTTTTTAATACCTGCTTGGCCTTGCCTCAAAGTCGTCTATTGTTGTGTTGTGTTTGACATCATACAGATGGCGTCACAGGACTTTGGATGTTGCTATAATCACCCCACACATATTAGGCGGTACTCAATTGTAAGGCAAAATGACCAAAACTGAGTAGAGTTGAGTCAAGTTGGAACTGGTCAAAAGAAGCATTAATGAGTAACAAGCTTCGTGTGACCGCTTATCATGATTTGCAATGTTAGTGTCAGTGAATCCAGCAACAGAAAGATACTCTGCGTAGCTGAACTCGCTTCATTGTGCAGGGCTCAGCTGTCTTTCAATGAACAAGGGTGAAAGCGATGTGAGCTGGACAGACTGTCAGCAAAGGAGGAAAAACAAAGACAGGAAGTAAAGCTGACAGCGGTGTCAGAGAGCCCAAAGATTACAAAATTTAAAAAAAAAATGAGAACAGAAATGATTTAAAATCTAAATAAGAAAAATCCCAAACCGCAATAAGACTTGAAAAATACATTTTTAAATTTCAGTTAGGGCTTTAATCACCACACCAACTATGCTATTTTTGAGATCAAAGTCCACAACACTATGACTAGTGCACCATTGCTTTTTAAAGTGAGTCTCTGGTGCTCACTTTAAAACACTTTTGGTTTTCTAGCGTTTAAATCCAATGATCCTATGTAAGAATCAAAACAGCAACTTCCCACAGCTGGAGAAACTCTGTGAAGTCAACTATGGATGAAGCCCAGCAGCAGCAGTACCCCCCCCCCCCCCCCCCCCCCTAACACCACCACCACCTTGTGTGATGTTTGATGGGAGGAGGAGTCAAGTGTGATGCCCTGAGCTCTTAATGCGTCCATCGTTCCTCCCGCTGAGCCGCTGCATCTGCATTTGTGTCTGATGCAACTGTTGCACGAGCTGGTTTACACGATCAACATGTTGACAGAGAGACGAGAAGCAGACGAGTAAAGTTCAGTGTGATGAAGGTCAAACAGATGCGGAGGAGATAAAAACACCATTTTACAGCTTTTCTATCGTCTTCATGTTTTTGTGTTTCCTATAACAGGTGTGGTTTAATTTGAAGGATCACAATGACACGAAGAAAACGATCAAAATAAGAGTAAAGGACAATTAAATAAGCAGTAATGTCAAGAAAAATATGGAAGTACTAATAAATCTTTCACTGAATAATCACAATATTTACAGTTTTTGACAGAAAGTTGCTTTTCACTAATTCTTTATTCTAAGAGGAAATTAAATTGTAGTGTTTCATTTTAAATAAAAATTTAAAAAGACATAGTACATTGTCTTGTGTTGTAATTGCCTGCCATATTCTTATGTCACACGTCTGCTTTTTAGCTCCACATCACATTTTGTCAGTTCCTGCCTTTTTCTTTTTTCCTGTCTTTAACGGTCTTCATGATGGATTTCAGGGAACCTGACAGGAAACACTTATCACTCCAATAAAAAACAAAATACAACAAAACATTAGTGATAAACAAATGTTTCAGTGATGGTATTTCTTGAGTTCCAAAAGGTTCACGAGTCCATAAACACACTAAATATCTGATGGTAGGACAAACATTCTCTTGACATAAGCATGCAATACACAAAAGAGTTTCAGTCATGCAGAGCCAAAGAAGGAGGAAGTCTGATATCAAGATGTTTGTTTTTCTCAACATGTTGGAAACTTAAATCATTTTATTAGTGTGGTAAGGGTTTGAGCTACTTTTAAGGTCGTGTCCTTTGTGTTTCCACCCAGATGCAGCAGAAATGTGTGAGATGTTTGAACATGCAGGAAGTTTTGGTGAAATCTTATGCAGACATCTGCTGAGATTTCTGATCTGTCCAGGTGGTTATAAAGGAAAACACATGAGATTATGACCAGTTGACACAAGCGCATTTAAAAAAGTTTTTTTTCTCGAGAAGCAGAAAATAAGACAGAATTGAGTCACCTATTTACAAACCAGACAAATGGAACAGAAGATGAAAAGTTTGTTGTTGAAGGATGTCTGAGAGTTCATGCATCTGTTAAACTGAAAAGAAAAAATGAATGTAGGGAATAAAGAGTCTAACTTTAGTGTAATTGTGTTTGTTTCACAGCTGTGGTTCAATCAGGTTCAAAGGAAACTTTATTCGTCTCTGAGGAGAAGCAGCTGATAGACACATGATAGATAAGATTCAATAAGAACATAATGAATGTGCAGAATGATCACTTCCAAAGATATTTTTGTGATTTCTTTTAATGACCGAAGCCAGACTTCCACTCTTGTTTTATTTGTAGATATTCACTCATTGATGTTATATTTTAAAGTTTTTGTTGCAATTTTTTGCTTCACTCCTTTAATTTTAAGGCTATAAAATAAACAAATAAATAAATAAAATATATAAAAATAAAAATAAATAAATATTTATTTTGTAAATACTTTGTATTTGTTACATTTTCTCTATCAGGATTATGTTATACTTCTGTTTTCAGTTTGCTTTGACTGAAAACCACTCTAGTTTTTATATGTGCTAAATGAATGAGTATAATAGAAAGGTTTTATTTGGTTAGGAAACAATTTGCCATCAGTAATCTGCACATAAAATGAAGCAAGAAGTACTGAGCACTTACACTATTTCCACCTGACTTTGAATGCACAGGAGGATTTCTTCTTTATTTCATTGAAATAAACAGAAACAGTTAAACTCTGCAGGATTCCTACACTCGCTTTCCTTTAGCAACGCCCCGCCCCCTTTCAGCAGCAGTGACCAATCAGTCAGGAGACTCCTGAAAAAACAAAGTGTATGATTGGAGCAGAGGAGGCTGGTTTCAAGGAACCCCCTCTCACTCTGCTCTTTTGCTGGGGAAGCGGGGAGAGGGAGGGGTGCCTGAAAACCATCAGAAACAGACAGAGTGTGAAGGGTCCTGCAGACTGAGGAGAAAGAATAGAGGTCTGGCAACTTCACAGACAGACGGACAAGCTGTGGATTTACTGATAAACTTAACTGCAGTCCAGACTACTTGATCCACATTGGACTGTGGGTGACTCTCAGGGAGAGTTTTACTGCTTCATTGTGTGAGAGAAAGGACTTTTCTTTGAGATATGACTCTGAAAGGATTCATAAGCAGACCATCACCTTTTCCTAAGAGAGGACTATACTTTGAAATACTTTGAATAAATATTTTTTTCTAACATTAGTTGAATAATAAAGGGGTCTTTGCACTGTGTTTGCAACCTTTATTAAAACCTTTTAAAAGTTGATCAAACTTTTTTGGAGTTGGATCTGCTGTCATGGCTTTGGGGGGACACTGCTCCTTTTGCTGGTGGGTTTGGGGATTCACTCTGGTATATCTCTTCCAGCCTTGCAACAGTCAGCATGATCGAGGAATTTCCATCCCTGAGCATGGCTTCTGCCAGCCCATCTCCATCCCCCTGTGCACTGACATTGCCTACAACCAGACCATCATGCCCAACCTGCTGGGGCACACCACCCAGGAGGACGCCGGGCTCGAGGTGCACCAATTTTATCCTCTGGTCAAAGTCCAATGCTCCTTGGACCTTAAGTTCTTCCTGTGCTCCATGTACGCACCGGTCTGCACCGTTCTAGACCAGGCAATCCCTCCCTGCAGATCTCTGTGTGAGCGGGCTCGGCAGGGCTGCGAGGCACTCATGAACAAATTTGGATTCCAGTGGCCTGAGAGACTGCGCTGTGAGAACTTTCCCATCCATGGGGCAGGAGAGATCTGCGTCGGTCAAAACACCACCGAAACCGAGGGCCCCACCTCGGACCCCACCCCAAGTCTTTCTGAGCTTGTGACCTTTCCTCCATACATTTGGGGCAACCAGCCTTTCTTCTGCCCCCTGCAGCTCCAGGTGCCCTCCTACCTGAATTATCACTTCCTCGGAGTGAAGGACTGTGGCTCCCCCTGTGAGCCCTCCAAACCCAATGGGTTGATGTATTTCCAAGAGGATGAGCTAAAGTTTGGGCGGCTCTGGGTTGGAACCTGGTCTATTCTATGTTGTGTCAGCACCCTTTTCACTGTCCTCACCTATCTGGTGGACATGAAGCGGTTCCGATACCCAGAGAGACCAATCATCTTCCTGTCAGGCTGCTATTTCATGGTGGCGGTGGCGTACAGCGCTGGCTTCCTGCTGGAGGACCAAGTAGTGTGTGTGGATAGGTTTAAAGAGGATGGCTACAAGCTGGTGGTTCAAGGCACCAAGAAGGAGGGTTGCACCATCCTGTTCATGATCCTCTACTTCTTTGGCATGGCGAGCTCCGTGTGGTGGGTGGTCCTTTCTCTCACTTGGTTCCTGTCTGCTGGGATGAAATGGGGTCACGAGGCTATTGAAGCAAACTCGCAGTACTTCCACCTGGCAGCCTGGGCGGTGCCAGCGGTGAAGACCATCACCATCCTGGCTACGGGACAGGTGGACGGTGACCTGCTCACTGGTGTCTGCTACGTGGGGATCTACAGCGTGGATGCACTGCGTGGTTTCGTGCTGGCGCCTCTGTTTGTCTACCTCTTCATCGGAACTTCTTTCCTGCTGGCTGGCTTTGTATCACTCTTCCGTATCCGCACCATCATGAAGCACGACGGCACAAAGACCGAGAAGCTCGAAAAGTTGATGGTGCGAATTGGTGTGTTTAGCGTGCTGTACACAGTGCCTGCCACCATTGTCATCGCCTGCCATTTCTATGAGCAGGCCTTCAGATCGCAGTGGGAGGTAACCTGGCACATGCAGACCTGCAAGCACTTTGCTGTGCCATGCCCAGCATCAAACTTTGCATCAAACACGCCAGACTTCACCGTCTTTATGATCAAGTACTTGATGACCCTTATTGTGGGCATAACATCAGGGTTCTGGATCTGGTCAGGGAAAACTCTACAGTCGTGGCGTCGTTTTTATCAAAGACTGATCAATAGCAGCCAGGGAGAAACCACCGTGTAGTACCGAAGAAATTAAAAACCTCTAACAGCCTGAGGTTGATGGACTACTTGAGGTAAAGGAGACATTAGTTTAGTGCTCAGTGGATCTTTGAGTGTTTTGGATCTCAGTGTACATACATGTAAGAAACTGTGTCATAAAATAGAAAAAAACTTCCTGAAAATCTGACGTCCACTTCATCTTTTTAACTTTTCAGACTCAAACTGGATTATCAGCCTCTGAAAAACTCAGTGACCTTTTTATTTCATGGGTCTGCCATGGATCTGGAAGTTTCCTGTTCTCTCTCTCTCATTTTTTTAGAAGAAGGAAACAAACGAAGCAAAAAACAAAACAAAGCAAAACACCACTTTGATCTATGGATAAACCTGATTCATTTGTCCAAATCTTAAGATGTGTTTTGTCCTCCCAAAAGATCCAAAAGCCTTAAATTCATATTAAATATTTCATTTTTGTTCAAAGATACTGGCAACAATTTCCTCCAAATTTCCCTGTAACTGATTTCATGATTAATAGATTCATTAATTAGTTATGGATGGTTTAGTCTATAAACAATTGCTTTGTCTTGTTTGGTTTGCCGGTGGTTGATCTGGACCTTCATTTCATTGCATATATCGTTACAAGTAAAAGTGTTGCATTCAAAAGCCTCCTTAGATAAAAGCCAAGGATGGACTCCAACTGTTCTACATCAATGATGATGTGGTTGGTTTTTTTTTTGTTATTGTTGTTTTTTTTAATATGCTATTTATTTCCCTATTTTGTTCAAAGAAAGCTTTACTATATTAACATTGTAGAAACATGAAATAGGTTGTCGGAATAACAACAAAATTACAAATGAGAGTGGTAAAATTCATAGAAATTTAAATTCAGTCCAATTATAAACTCAGCAGTTATAAGAACAGCAGAATAAACATAAAAAAGTTTTTTTTTTGTCATTTTGATTTTTCTTTCTGTAACAGTGGTGTCATGTGATGTCGCCTTCTCTAAAACACAAACTCTCCCCGTCAGGCTGTGGCAGGGTTAGTTCAGCGAGATGACAGGAAGACCAAGTTTTAACAACAAAATCAGTAAAACTGAATCTTTGGAAACAGCCTTGCACCAAAACTTTTTTAATTGAAAATTATAGATGCTTGATGTTGGGATATGGGGGTTGATAATTAAATAAATGTTTTATACTTATTATGTTTATAACACAATAAAACTGCGTGGAGGGGCAGACTAAAGCAAAAACAGAATAATAATATAAAAATTCAGGGAATGTGGCTGAATTCTAGACCACTGTTCATGGAAACTAATAGAAGGCTAACCGGTATGTGTTGATTGTGGCTGTCACAATATCAGAATATCACTACATCATTTATTCCATGTTTTTGGCAACTAAATAAAACTTAAAGAGCAATTATTTGGATTCAATGTAAGTTCCTGGCATGATATTAGTGTTGTATTTTCTGCCATCATATTCAGTATATAGCAACAGCCAAGAGTGTGAAGTTCAACTGTGATCCTTATTATTAATGCAGACATTTTGGACTCATCAATCTGTCTCAATACTGCATTTTGAAAGTCTGTTATAATATATAATATAATATACAGGCATAATTTTTAATGACACTATTTAAAGACTTATACTATTTTCGTTATCTATAGCAGGCATTTTAAAATATTTTTGTGTAATTAATCATCCATCCATTCGCTTCCGCGTATCCTTTTCAGGGTCGCGGGGGGCGCTGGAGCCTATCCCAGCTGTCATAGGGCGAGAGGCGGGGTACACCCTGGACAGGTCGCCAGTCTGTCGCAGGGCTAACACATAGGGACAGACAACCATTCACACTCACATTCACACCTAGTGGCAATATGGATTATCCAATTAACCTATCCCCACAAGCTGCATGCCTTTGGACAGTGGGAGGAAGCTGGAGTACCCGGAGAGAACCCACGCAAACACGGGGAGAACATGCAAACTCCACACAGAAAGACCCCGGCCTGATGGTGGAATTGAACTCAAGACCTTCTTGCTGTGTGGCAACAGTGCTAACCACCGTGCCACCATGCTGCCGTGCTGCTGCTGTAATTAATCATGATTTTAATAATTTTTTGCTAAAACGAATCTCTCTTAATTTGGACATTAGGTTAGGACATCATGGCTTCAGTAAATCATGATTAGTGACCCATGGTGCCCTGTGAAACGTCACATTATAGTAATTAGATGTGTAGAAGTTACAGTCATAGGAAAGCCTTTAATAAAGTGTTAATAAAACAGACCTATAATTCATAGAGCTCTCCAGTCACCTCACCAAATTCACAGCAGAAAACATTTTTACCATTAAAAATGTCTCCACAGCACTTAGTTCACATGAAATTTAAAAACAGGAGTTCCAGAGCACAATAATTATCACCTGCAACTATGTTTTTGCAGTTTGCTGTAACTCTCATAGAAACTCTGTCCTGTCTGATTTGTAATTCATTCATCAAATCGCTGCTATTTTATTTGACCTTCAGCCCATCAGAAAACATATCAGAACCAATGGCTTAAAAGTATTTATTTTTACAGGTAGACTGTTTCACAGTTTTGAGACATCAGCAGCAAAAAGCTACATCCACAATTTTTCTCTCTGAGGAATTTTGATGTCCAGGACGAGAAGTGAGAGAATATCATAAATGTAACTGAGTTCAGCATTATTTAAGGCTTAAGATAAAAGTCAAAGTATTTTAAAATCAGCATTATAAGAGGCTGGATGTGGTGGTTCAGGAAAGTGTTTATAACAGTGTCATGTTTATAAATGTATTTATGTTTAACAAGCATCATGTTTGTATTTCTGTGAGGTTACCTGTCTTCAGCTCGTAGAGTTTTTCAGAATAAATTGCTCAAGTTTGTAACTTCTGAAAAGAACTCATTGATACATGAAATTCCATCCATCCAGCTATGAATCCATCCATTTTCTTCTGCTCTTCCCCGGGTTGCGGGGGCAGCAGTCTAAGCAGAGAAGCTCAGACTTCCCTCTCTCCGACCACCTCCTCCAGCATGTCCGGGCGTTCCCAGACCAGCCAAGATAATCTCTTCAGTGCATCCTGAGTCTACCCCAGGGCCTCCTCCCGGTGTTAGATGCCCGATCCATCTTAACTGGCTCCTTTCATGAAATGATTCTGAATAATCATAGAAAGTCTAAGTGTCATGGTCGATTTGCTTTTGTTAAAATTTAAACATTTCTCTGAAACCAGAAAGCAGAGTTCAGTCTTTTTCTTACATGACAGAAAGAAGAGCCGAAGATTATGCCGAACACAGCAATGAACCATTAAGTTACACTATCAGACATCAAAGTACTCATCACTTCATACATAAAAGTAAGTAAAAGCACAGAAGGAACTAAACTCTTTCACTGGGAAGGAATCTGACTCTCCCTTGAAGGTAACTTGTCTCCATCTAGTGCTAAAAACATTAAATTAATTTTCACCCAAAGGTTGAAAATACAACTCTTGAAATTCAGCAGCATTCACACTGACATAACAAGGTTAAACAAAGGAAGATGACAGAGAAATGATGAGAGAGCATTAACATTGGTTTTTTTTTTAACCTTATGTTGAAGCAAAGTCGGCAAACCAAAGATCTTTTTTTTATGCTTATCTATTTATTTGTAGATTTGACTGTCATGACATAAAAACACATTCAGAAAATCATTAATATAATAAATAAATCACTTAATAGTACTACTTCTACTTGTAACAACAACAACAACAACAACAACAACAACAATAATAATAATAATAATACGACTGCTCCGACCACTTTTTCTTTGTCTTTGTTTTTTAAGTTAGTTTTCAGCGTTTCTAAATCGGCAAAATCATCACCATTGGGTACATTAGGTATGACAGTGACACTCTAGTTTCTATTGGTATACAATGTACTCACAATTCGAAGTTTTTAACTCCGGATCCGAGCTGGCCGAGTGAGATCTTGAGGGAGAACAAAGGGAAGCGGCGGCGGCCTAGAGGGAAGCGAGCCTACGTCAGGAACAGGCTGAGAGCTCGTGCACACCGCACACCTCTGCCTAGCATCCTGCTCGCCAACGTCCAGTCACTGGAGAACAAGCTTGACGACCTCAGGGCCAGGCTAAAGTTCCAGAGAGACATTCGGGACTGCAATCTCCTCTGCTTCACCGAGACATGGCTGAGCCCAGCGGTGCCGGACCACGCCATCCAGCCGGCCGAGTTCTTCTCAGTTCACTGCATGGACAGGACACGGGACTCGGGGAAGTCAAGGGGAGGCGGCGTGTGTTTAATGGTGAACAACAATTGGTGCAACAGTGCGAACGTTGTTCCTCTCACACGCTCCTGCACACCAAATCTGGACCACTGCTACACTACGGTCAAGGACGGCTACAAGGCACAATCCTGCCCTCCGTTTGGCAAATCTGATCACGCCGCCATCTTCCTCATGCCAAAATACAAACAAAGGCTGAAACAGGAAGTTCCGGTTCAGAGGAAGATCGCGCGCTGGACGGATCAATCGGTGGCCGCGTTACAGGACGCACTCGATGACACAGACTGGGGCATGTTCAGAAACAGCTCCGATGATGATGTCAAGGTGTTTACGGAAGCGGTTGTGGGATTCATCGGGAAACTAGCGGATGATACCGTGGAGACAAAGACTATCACAACGTTTCCCAACCAGAAGCCGTGGGTGGATAAAACCATCCGCGACGCTCTGAGATCCCGCACCGCTGCCTACAACACGGGACTCATGACGGGGGACATGGACCCGTACAAAGCCGCGTCATATAACGTGCGGAGGGCGGTGAAAGAGGCGAAGCAGCGCTACGGGAGGAAACTAGAGTCACAACTCCAACAGAGTGACTCTAGGAGCCTGTGGCGGGGACTAAGGACAATAACAGACTATAAAGCACCAACAACCGGTATGACGAACGCGGCCGTGACTCTGGCAGACGAGCTGAACACTTTCTATGCTCGCTTCGAGGCTGCAGCTAAGGACTCCAACAATGCTAGTGCTAGCGGCGCTAACGGCTGCAGACAGGAAGATACTGCCAGCACCGGAAACGTGCTCGTCATCTCCGAGCATGAAGTAAGGAGAGCCTTCAAGAGAGTGAACACCAGGAAAGCAGCAGGACCAGATGGCATCCCAGGTCGTATCCTCAGAGACTGCGCATACCAGCTAGCTCCTGTGTTCACTGAGATATTCAACATCTCTTTTTCTCAGTCGGTGATCCCCACATGCTTCAAAGAGTCCATCATTGTTCCTGTCCCGAAGAAACCCCACCCTGCTTCTCTCAATGACTATCGCCCTGTAGCCCTCACCTCAGTAGTGATGAAGTGCTTTGAACGCCTGGCCAGAGACTTCATCATTTCTTCACTACCAGACACACTGGACCCACTACAGTTCGCTTACCGTCCAAATCGTTCCACATACGATGCCATCTCTCATCTCCTCCACACATCACTCACTCACTTGGACACTAGAAGGGGGAATTATGTTAAAATGCTCTTCATAGACTACAGCTCTGCATTTAATACCATAATTCCCTCCACACTCACCACCAAGCTGGAGCATCTGGGACTCAGCTCATCTATGTGTCAGTGGATCTCCAACTTCCTAACTGGCAGACCACAGGCAGTAAGGATGGGCGGACATGTCTCAGCCTCCACCACTCTCAGCACTGGAGCCCCCCAGGGGTGTGTTCTGAGCCCCCTGCTGTATTCTTTGTACACATATGAATGTGTGACCACTACCAGCTCCACCACCATCATCAAGTTTGCTGACGACACCGTCGTGGTGGGCCTGATCTCTGATAACAACGAGACGGCCTACCTGAAGGAGATTAGGAATCTGGAGAACTGGTGCCAGAGGAACAACCTCCTTCTAAACGTCAGTAAGACAAAGGAGCTGATAGTGGACTTCAGCACTAAGCAGGAGAGGAACTACCAGACCCCCGTCATCAACGAGTGCCCAGTGGAGAGAGTGGACAGCTTCAAATACCTCGGAGTTCACATCACGCAGGACCTGTCATGGTCCTGTCACATCAACACCGTGGTGAAAAAGGCCCGTCAGCGTCTCTACTACCTCAGATGCTTGAGAGACTTCCAACTGCCCTCCAAGGTGCTCAGGAACTTTTACTCGTGCACCATAGAGAGCATCCTGACGGGAAACATCTTAACCTTTTTTTTTTTTTTTTCCTTTTTTTGTGTCCCGTTTGGATCTATAGCCATCAGAATTGTTGTCTTAAGGCCAAGAAAGATGCCAAGCGGATTTATTTTACCAAGTGGATCATCATGGCCTTGCCATATTGGTCCATTTGATTGACCTTTATTATAATTATGAATTTATTTTATTTTCAGTTGCTACAAACGGGACAGACATGACTGGGGGATAGGACAGGGAGAAAGAATGAAAGAAAGAGAGGGAGAGAAAGAAAACCAAAGGGGAGAAGAGACAGTGAGAAGGGGGGGAAGAAAGAAAAAAAACAAACAAAAAAACAAACAAACAAAAAAAACAAAACACCTGGGTCACCTTTATGGAGAAACATTACAAAACATTCCAAAGGTTTCTCCATGTAACGATCTGCTAGGGAGTGTGGGGAGCCACAGCCCCGTCCACCAGGGTATGAAGCAGGTATGGAGGAGATCAA